ACTCATCAACCTCTACTCAAATACAACCAAAAATTACAATTGCTTAATCTTTACCAAAAATTGAAACTCAAAACTCAAAGTAGATCTGAAAGAGGAAATCCTTCTAGCCACATCTCTTGCCAGATTGTTGCTGCTGGGTTCACAAGAACACCATGGATGGCAGATGAGAAAGAACACACTTAGAGAGATGAGGAGGAATGGGTTCGATTCATAGCCGACATCGATGTGCGAGGACGTTTGACATAGTAGATCTCAGGATGGGAGAAGTCGGGGTTAGGCTGATATGAGGGAGAGGATGGTGCTCTTGCCGTCACCTGCAAGGTAGGGTGGGTAGCTGAGTATTCGGGTTTTTGATGCGCGGGAGATAAAGTGGAGAAGGAAATAGAGAGAACGAGAGACAGGGAGGAAGCTAGAGAGAGTGTCTCGTTGGCCCAACTAATTATACCGAGCCTTTTGAAGGGATAAATAAGCAGGCGTGAATTGGACTAAAAAGGTGGGACCAAATAAATTATACTAGTACTATTTAGTACATAACCACACTAAACATCCGAGACTGTATTATTTATCCTATCTGATCCCTTATACGGGGCAGCCAAACGAGGCCTACGGGAATCCTGTCTTGTTAATTCACACCTTTCCGTTACCTATTGTTGTTAATTCAGTTGGGAATCCAGCGTTGCGTTGCATAGGCCAAAATATCCATATCATCCCTTCCCCATTCATGTTTCAGTTTATGAGACGGTTTTGGATTTATACATCGTCCTTACTTAGTAGAAAAGTATTTTGTTGTTGTTGTAATAGTTAGTTATAAATTATTACTAGAAAAAAAAATGTTAAGGAATTGTTTGACAACGTTTTTTGTTTTCAATCTTCGATTATTTTTGTTTTCACTATTTTTTTCTTTTTCAAATTGAAATACTCAGTTTTGTAATTTTTGTTGCTCTAAAAGAACCTAAAGGAAACTAAAGCCTTTAACTTATGGCAATAATGTGTCGACTTTCAGTATAGGGGTATTCTATACCTCGTTCATGTTTTTACATTTGATTCCCCATAATAGAATGAATTTTTAATAAATAAAAGATTGATCATAATTTATTTGTTGTACGTAGTTTTTTTTAAAACAATATTTTTTGTTTGAATAAATGATATTATTCACATTAAGAGGGTAGGAGAGTGGTTTAAGTCTCAAAATGGGTTTGTAATAATATGGTGAAAATTCGCCTTTGATGACAATAAGAATACTACTAAACCGCACTACTAAGTGGTTTTAAAGCAACATTGTTAGTAGAGAAATAATAACATGATGTTTATTATAATGTGTGAATGGTTAAAATTGTACAATAACTAGCATCTCTAAATTGAAAAAAAAAAAAAACTTTTTCTCTCACATTTCTCTCCAACTTCTTCTTTTTTATTTTTTTTATTTTTTTATTTTAATATATATATATATATATATATATTTATCTTTATATATAAAGTCAATGGCCTAATGAACAGTATTTCTTGGTGTCACAAGTTTCACCAAAAATAATTGGACAAAAATGCCCCTCAAACAAAAAAACTTGAAAAGCAATCCAAAATAATGCATCATATGTGGCAGAGATATCTTCGTCATTTTAATAGTGTTTTTTAATATTTAATTTCTTTTGTACATTTTTTAAATTTTATTTTTTAATAATTAATACCTCACAATAGGTTATGACACACCCCGATCGAGATCAGGGTATGCTAGTTGTCACGTGGAAGTGACGTAACCATGTGCACGGTGCGGAAGCTAATAAAATAATAATAGAAATAGTACGAATAAATAAAAACTAGTTTACACAACGTAATAAAACAAGTGCAAACGAGTGCGAATCTTAAGTTCAGAGCAAGAACACCTAATGTAGTCCCAAAAGGAAACAATACAACAAAAGCACACCCGAAGGTGGTCCTACATTGGTGGTGGTCTGTCAGATATGCCGGGAAAGTCCTTAGGGAATCCACCAAACGTGCTAGCCAATTAGAACCTGGAAGGGCGCAAAACAAAAGCGTGAGTGGGCAAAAACAAAGCTTTCGAAAACCAATTCAATAAATAAGTTCTAACCCCTCGCCGTAAAACCTGTATACTTCCTAGAAAATAGAATATATAAATATATATCATGCTCGAAAAGCGTGCCATGCAATATGCCTCGAAGTAATATGCTAGTGCTCAGGAAACATCAATCAATAACAAGTAACTGTCAGCCGGAGTCACCTAACGTGACCTGTAGGCTGAATATAGAGCTCGAATCTCCATCTCACTAGCTATACTTGCACACGAGTCGGAACCACCTAAAGTGGTCTGTACGACAGGCCTGGGTGTAATATAAGTACGCTCTAATGCTACGATCACGTGAAGGCTGGGCGAATAATCGCGGGTTACCTACGAGTCGGAACCACCTAAAGTGGTCTGTACGACAGAACTGTGCACCTAACTTGGATCCAAGATGAGCATGTGGTGCGGGAGGTGAACATCACGTGAAGGACTGTCCCCAACTCTGGGCGGGAGCACTAACACTGGGGTGCAGGTTACGAGCTCTCTAAGTCTCTAAAATCACTACTGAATGTAAACATGAATCACAACTCACCTGGCACTTACCTGTGCGTCCACAACACCAATATACATATGTATAAATGCAACTAACAATTCATAACAAACGGCAATGTAATGCATGGCATATAACGAATAAACGACTCAAAATCAATTTCTGGGAAAAATATAAGTATATAAGTATATATGGGAAACCAAAAGCCCACTTACTGGTAAGTGGAAGGGTCGTAATCCCCCTGCCTCGAGTGATCACGCTCGTCCTCGGGATACGTCTCACCTATATGCGAAACAACTATAAAAACGTTAATTTTAAAGCACATAACCAATCTTTAGAAATAACTTCTCATACATTGCTCAAATGGGGTGTACGAATACAACAACGTGATCTACTCAACCTCAGGAACATCCCCATATTTTTAAAATAATTTTTCACCACCGCACGCGCCCCTACGCGCCTGGCACGCTGACGGCGTCAGTTGACGTCGTCAGGAATATTCCGTTATCCCTAACAGTAACCGTTAACGGCGTGAGGAATATTCCGTTGTCTTCTCCGGCGAGACTCCGGCGCCGTCGTTGGAGCCGGAAAATCGGGAAAAACTTTAAAACATCTTATCTTCTTCGTTTTTCAACCAAATTTCACAAAATTGGTACCAAAATGAAGTTTACAACGAGAGGAACAAGATCAGACCACTTTCAAGGGCTAAAATCCATGAAATCTCGCTTGGAAAATCCCCCCAACTCCGGCCAACCTCGAAACTCACGATCCCGACATCCAAAACCTTCAAACGAACCACCCCGAGCCTCCTAGGGACCTCACCAAGCTTCCTACAAGCTTGAAATTCCCTAAAACGTGAGAAATCACGTGTGCATGAACAGTACCAAAAATCTGACATCACGAGTTTGACGTGAAAACGAAGGTAACCTTACCTGAAATGGGTATGGTTGGACTCCCACGAGCCTCATGAGCATGGATATGTACTTTGTTCCTTTGATTTGTGAAGGTTTGATGGGTTTGGGTGTGTGTCCGTACGTTGTATGGAAAATGGGAAGGGAAAGGGACTCGGGACAGGATGCAGGGATAGGGGGAAAAGGTGTGGGGTGTGGGAGAGTGTGTGTGTGGCCCAAAACATGCCAACAAAACCCCAAAAACAACCACACGACGAAAAATCACGCTAGGAGCAAAATCGTCTTTTCACGTGTACGTTTTTAAAATTTCCGGGACGGGCTGTCACAGGTTAGCAATAATGTGATTCAATCAATTCTTCATTAAATATTATTTTCTCTATTTTTAAACACGTTTTAAATATCTTAATAAGCGTGTAATGCCGGTGATAAAAAAAGTATTTCGCTCGCGGATAATAATGTGTTTAAACCGTCAAATGATTTTTTTTTTTTTTTAACAAACGATATTATCTACACTAGGAGGGGTGGGATGGGCTTAGCCTCACAATGGACTAGCAATAAAGTGATTCAATCAGTTATTTATTAAATTTTATTTTCTCTATTCTTAATATAAATTCAATAGAGATCAATTTTATTATGTGGATTCAACTGCTTTAATTGGTTTATGAGAAGTTTCTTCTAGCATGATATACGATTATTCATTTACTTCAAATATTTTACTTTCCTTTTGTCAATTTACGCATATAAATACAGTTAAAACGTGTAAGTCGCACTTAGCACGCCGTGATTTAAAAAATGCCTTCTGCACGCACATGAGTGTGTGCATGAAGGCTAGTATATGTTTACACACAATGTGGGTGTTGTTTAATGGAAAGAGATAATCTCCCGATCTCTTCCTCCAAAACCTGCTGATCAAGTGATCCGGACTTTTGAAATTTGATCTAACGGTAAAAAATTATTATCTTTCAGGGGCCCGGATTTCAAGGGTTTTGGATCAAATTTTAAGAGTCCAGATCACTTGATCCGTAAATTTTGGAGAAAGAGATCTGGAGATAATTCTTTCCTGTGTAACCTATTTCTAATTTCAAAATTTTCACTCAAACCCTTCTCACCTACCACGTGTAATGCTCTCACAGCGACTCTCACCTCTCTCTCATTTCCCACCAGCCACTCTACTACCCTGCTCCCTCAGTCTCTCTCTCCTCTCTTCCTCTCTCTGTAAACGCTGATAAAAATTTCAGCAACATAAACAAACGCCGTCACATAACACCCCTGCAGTTTATCAAAGCCCCTTCACTTTCAGCTCCCGAAAGCTGTCACCACCCCCCATACCCAGACAACGACAACACACCCACACGCACAACGATGAACCAGGGGCTTGCTTTCCCATAAAACGACGCCGTCGCGCTTCAAATTCCGTGCCTATCGATTGGCGCCGGGAACAGAGAAGGCTCACATCAACTGCTCCGACGACCTAGACGGTCGCATCGTCGTTAGCTGACTGATTGATTGCTCTCTCTCTCTCTGCTGAAATGGCTTCGGAGGATGTGAAACCGAGCGAATCGGCGGTCACGACGATCGTCAGTCTGGCCGAGGAGGCGAAAATGGCTAGGGAGGGCGTTGTCAAGGCTCCGAGCCTCGCGCTGCTCAGCGTCTGCAAGTCGCTCGTCGCTGGCGGAGTCGCCGGTGGAGTGTGAGTTTCTCGATTTCTCGAGCTTTCGTCTGTTTGTTTCCATGGAAATGAAGTTCATCGAAAGCAAATATTCCCGCAAAAATTTGATCTTGTTTTTAAAATTCATTTGATGAAGCAATTAATGTGGTTGATCTTTAAATTTAATTGCTTGGTTAATGCAAAAGAAGAAGGAGATCGAAATATTAAATCTTGCTAATCTATTGAATATGGTTTAGCGTCGCCAATGTGTAGTATTTGAAGGTCATGAATTTGAAGTATTTAATCTCATGTGGTATCCGGAATTTGAAGTCCATTAGATTGCATGATGTGAACGAAATTGTTGTATCGTCGTTGCGACAATATCAGGATCAGATTGTTCTTTGTTTATATGTTTTCTCAATGCTATTGCCATGTTGACTGTTCTTGATTACTGAAATGTTTTTTTTTTTTCATCCAGGTCACGCACGGCTGTTGCTCCATTGGAACGAATGAAAATTTTGCTTCAGGTTCGTTTTTTTTCAATTAATTGTGTGCAATGTCATTCTCTTGTTTATATAAGTACCATCATATACACACACAATAACACATAGAGGTAAATTTCGTTCCTGACTGGTTGTCTTGTCTGCAGGTCCAGAATCCGCATAACATAAAATACAATGGAACGATACAAGGCTTGAAGCATATCTGGAGAACTGAGGGTTTCCGTGGATTGTTTAAAGGGAATGGTACGAATTGTGCTCGTATTGTCCCCAACTCAGCTGTCAAGTTCTTCAGCTACGAGCAAGCTTCCAAGTATGTTTCTGACAAGATTTAATGTTCATTTCTTTTTTCGTCTGCGATTCCAGTACATGTTTAATTTATCTTTGTTTTTGTTTTGTTCATATTTGCCCATCAATGTTGCATTATTGGTATGATGTAAAATCTTTTACACCTGCTGAACGCATAAAGGTATCTTGTCACTACATATTATGTTGTCCCACATTACCTTCTTCTGAATGATCCTTGCTATCTATGACAGGGGAATATTGTGGCTGTATCGGGATCAAACTGGCAATGGTATGTCCACACTTACCATAAACTGTTCCCTTGATGTGTAATGGTTAGTAATTTGACTGGTGCTTTTGAAGAATTACTTTTTGCATTGGACCGGTTAACAGTTTGACTCAGTTTGGGTTGCTGTTTAATCATTTATGCCTTGTAAAATGTCTAACAGTGGCTATCTAACATCCACATAATCACATTATAAACTAACAAAGAAACTATAAGACTGGTATGATGTGAGCATTTGGAAAATGACTTGATCTTTATAGTTCCTTTTCTTGGAACACTGAGACAGACAGTTAGAAGTCAATGGATAATGTAGGTGATTGATATCTCTGTTTCTATTAAATATCTGCAGATGATGCTCAGCTCACTCCGCTCTTACGTCTTGGAGCTGGAGCATGTGCTGGAATTATTGCTATGTCTGCAACCTACCCAATGGACATGGTACGAGGAAGGATCACTGTACAGGTACTTATTTCGGTCCCTGTTCTTTCGTTGTTCCATAGAACGAATGTTTTAAAGACCTTGATATTTTCCAGTCACATCAGTCATCAATTAATGTTTAATTTCTATAAGAAGTTTCAGAAATTAAGTTTTTATTTATTATTAAAGAAAATATTTATGTTTTGTTGGTTTTAAATTTGCAGACAGAGAATTCTCCCTTTCAGTACAGGGGAATGTTCCATGCTTTATCGACTGTGCTCCGGGAGGAGGGCCCACGGGCTTTGTACAAGGGCTGGCTTCCTTCTGTTATTGGAGTTGTAAGTTTCTTTCGCTACAAAATGTGTTTTCGCATATCTACCACTCTACCACCCTTTTGATATGAGTTCCAAATTAAAAAGAAATAAAGTTTGCTGACTTAGCAATAGATGGTCTCTCTAGGATCTAACTCCGATGATTTATCTATGTGGAAAACTACCTATTGCTCCTTTTGTTGTTCCTCTGAAGTTGGATTGCAAGATTTACTTTTGTTGTGAACCTTACACCGACAATTTTGTTTGCAGGTTCCATATGTTGGTCTCAACTTTGCTGTGTATGAATCCCTAAAGGATTGGTTAATCAAAAGTAGGCCATTTGGACTTGTTCAAGATACAGATTTGAGCGTGACAACAAGGTTGGCATGTGGGGCTGCTGCTGGAACTGTTGGGCAAACTGTTGCTTACCCTCTTGATGTCATTCGTCGAAGGATGCAGATGGTGGGATGGAGCCACGCTGCTTCTGTTGTCAGTGGTGATGGGATAAGCAAGACCCCACTTGAATATACTGGCATGGTTGATGCGTTTAGGAAAACTGTTCGACATGAGGGCTTTGGTGCATTGTACAAGGGTTTGGTTCCCAATTGTGTTAAGGTCAGTATGAACCTTTTGTTCTACTTGTTTGTAGACAAGAGTAGGTTGACTAGTTATCAGTTTGTAAGAACATTTTTGTCAGGGTGGCTAAGGGCTTAACTGGATGCATCTTACACATGAAAAGGGTGACTGATCGCATGGTAGTGGAAAATTGGACTATCTAAAAAGGTCTCCCTAGGAATAACAGGAAAAGGTTTAGAAAATAAAGCCCCCGAATTCTTATGGGTTACCGGACGTCTAGAGGATTTCGAAACCTTATTATCAACGATGAACACTAATCCTAAACTGCTATAGAAGAGTATATGAAAGCTTTATGTTCCATGAACAACGGTGGTTGGTTCATGTGTTCAGCTGTTATTTTGAACTGGGCCCCCAGTAAACGCATATAAACTTATTTATCGCTCAACTTGTGGTTGAACTATCATATTATGGTTATAAAAAAATACTTGTAGGAACTACATTCAACTTGTACTGCTTCCAGTTTTCTTCCATAGTTGTGTGCTTGGACTTTTGTCATTTCAGTTTTAGCAAATTTTGTTGATAAAGATAAAGATTTATTCATCAGTTGAGCAGTTGCTATTAGTTATTCATATTTTACACATGTCTTTGCCAACATTATAGTTCTTTCTGCTCCAATTTTCAGGTAGTCCCATCTATTGCAATTGCATTTGTGACGTATGAGATGGTGAAGGACGTTTTAGGAGTCGAGATCAGGATATCGGACTGATATTACGGGAGCTTCATGATATTTATCTGTGTGCGTGCTATTTTTGTAGGCCGGGAAATAGAGGTCTGGCAAACAAGGGGTAATTTTTTTCCTATTTTTTTCCGAAGTTAGAAGCGAGTTCGAGCTTGTGTTCATAAATTGCTTTCCCTTGTTTTTCATCTCTTTTCTATTTCCTTATGAACACAATGTAGCTTTGAGCTTCTCATTCATGTGATGTGCCAATAAGTGTTTTGACAATGTAAAACATGCATCCGCATGCCTTCCATAAGCTTTGAGAAAGCATTTTCTACTTGCTGTTACATGTTACTTGAAGGACTCTCTCTCTCTCTCTCTCTCTCTCTCTCTCTCTAGTAGACGTACCACATTAGAAACGATTCTAATAGTGGAAAATAATGCATTATATTATCATTAATGTAATTAGACGATAATCGGAATAAATAGTTTAAGGATACTTTGCGAGGGAAAATTGGAATAAATAGTTTATAGTTATCAGAAGTTGGTAACTTTGGTATGATATCTTTCTTTGCTGGACTGTTTCCTCCTCCGATGTCATTAGTCTTCACACTCTTCGGCCATGCCTAGAATCCCTTATTCTTGTTTGACACCGTTGATTCCGACTCCGAACTGGCTTGACCTCGTCCATCTCCGTCTGTTGCTTTGTAATCTCTTGGTCGCTTTAGCCCCATCTTGTTTCGTTTCATGATGTCTCTCCGCAGAATTCAAGTTTTCCTCTGTAGATAGAGAAAATAACGAAAGGAACATGATAAGGAGGTTCAACTCGGCTGTAAACTCCGAGTTTGGCAACTGTGATGGCATAGATCGATCATTGTGTTCCTCGTCTGCGTTTTCCAGCACCTGATCAACCTTGTTGTCTGCAACTCCAGCAGGTTGTGCCATTTTACTAATGCGAAACTTCCCAACAAAAGAAATTGTCGATTGAAATTCTGAGTTGTTGAATGGAAGAGCTGAACCGAATCAACACAGAAAATTAGTATAGTCTGTAGACTTGTACGTGTTTATGCAGTGTCGTGTTTCACGGAATGAAGTGATTCTTTGTTAGGGCTGCCTCGTGCGGCTGCCCTATACAAAGACTCCGTGGGATGGGATGAAATGAGAATGAGAATGAGAAACTCAACGTTCCTTCAGGAATACAAAATCGTTATTCTGTTGTATACGTAAAATTTATCTAAATTACAAGCAGAGGGATTCAAAGTTGTGTTTAAACTACAGGTTTTGAAGATTAAAATCATCTTTGACAATAAAATGAAGCATTAAAATAATCTCCTCTCAAAACAACAAACAATTAAAAGAAATGAATGAGAAAAAAGGAGCAGAATCGCTCACCAAATAATATCATCGACAGAAGGGGACTTGTGTTTGCAAACGCCAGAAAACAAAGAAGAATTTTAACCTTTTCACAAGTCTCAATTCAGGTGCTTTGAAAATAATATTTATTTGTTTTTACTTTTTACCAGCCACCGTTTTACTTATCGGTGTCTATTCGGTTCTGTCATAAAATACCAGATTGTAGTTGTAAATTAGATCATAAAATCAAGGCGTACCGTCAATCCAGGTCTACAATTGTGTTGGTGTCGAAGTAAAGAATACTTTAATCGGAGGGCCAAAAATAAATTTTACTAAAATTGCATGTATTGAACTATATTATTAATTTTTACCATATAAAAAGAGATTAAGCAAAATTGTCTATTAACTATAAGGAAATTGTTATTAGCATTCTAAAAATATCATTCTACATTCTTCACTGATGTATTTTTCTTTCTAATTATAGAAAGTTTGGAGTGCAAAATGAGATTTTTAGAATGTCAATAACAATTCTCAACTATAAAATACCTAATAAAACAAAAAACTAGCAAAACCCAGATGTACCAGTTAAAAACAAGACCAATATGTCAAACTAAAGTAAAAGTTGAGAATATACTACCAAAATTTTACTAAAATTAGTTTTAATATACAATAAAATCTCTGTATAGTGATACTCATCTACTTAAATATTTTAGTACCAATTCAAGCCACTTATATATAGGAATAAACATCACATTGTGGTAAGTTATAATTTTTCCAGGTCTTGTCCATTACATAGTGAAATTGTCAGTAAAACCTTCAACATGACCTTCTACATATCTTTTTATTAGATTTTAATTAAACTAGTTACGAAGTTTGAAATTTTGTAATCAATTATTTCAATTCGTAGACCGTTCGAGGTCACAATTTATATTTTGATAGAACTCGATCTCAGAATGCATAGAAGCAGACCGTTCGTGAAACGAAGTTATAACAAAAGAGTTATTAACGTTTGAAGTTAGGGACATTTTTGTAATTTGGCCCTCATTTAGAAGGCTCCAGATTTTTTGGAGCAAAGGAAAGGCCATGTGTGTGGTTGGGATGAAAGGAAAAGATAAGAAATGGGAGGGATGGACGAGTGTGATGGAAAAGGAGAGAAACGAGGGAAAGGATTGGGGAGGAGGACAAATCAGAAAAGAAAGAAAGGAGGGGAAATAAGGAAAAGGAGAAGCGGAGGATCCCTTGACCTGTTTGCGGTCCTAACCTGACTTGTTCCTCTTCGTCTTCTCCGGCCGTTTTTTGTAGGTTTGGCGAACCACATTACCTAACCCCCTGGAAAATGTTGCATGGCCTTCCCTCTACCTATTACAACCCAAAATTGTAGAAATTTAGCTTTGAACTCGGAAAAAACGCACTGGTGGGTACGAGTGTTCTTGTCGTCGATCCTCTAAATTTTGAAACAATTTCCTTTGATCTCCACCACCAATAGATTCCCCTAAACCTCAGGAACAAAGCCTATGCATTGGTTGGGGCGTCGGAGCTGTTTTGGAGTCGAATCAAGAACACCCAAAATCAAGGGTTTCCGGTGGTTCGTGGGCAATTTGAGGTGTTTCCCAGCCAAATTGGACTTGGCCACATGTATCCCTCACTGAGATCTACTTGCCTGTAAAATTTGGTAATTTTTAAAAATAGTTGAATTTTTTCGGCGAGTTGGGGTGGCCAACCGCCACCCGTGGCGGCGCGTGACCAGTAGGACCGACGATGTCTTTCTTAGTTCAATTAGATGTCCTGATTTTGTATTTGATATCCGTTTGATGCAAGTTGATTGTTTGAACCTAGTTTCATTACGGTACATTGCTTGATCATTGTATGAATTGACGATCTGACCATTGGATCGTTACCAAAACTTAATACGTTATAGTAATAATATTTGAGGATAGTAGGAATTGATGGATCAGGAATCTGAAGTACGGATCTTTTTGAATTAGATTTCTAAGATAGTAAAACAAATTGTTGATCGCCACCTAATTCTAGCAATTGGCGGAGATCCGACCGTCGGATCGCCATGAGATTTTAGTAGGTTGTTCTAGAAGCATAATGTGTATTTTAGAAAGTTACAGATCTGAAATCCAATGTGTGGATCTTTTGGATCGAAGTATGTAGAATTGTGGACCCTACCTTTGATCGAGAGTTGACTTTTGGTCAACATATCTCGAAACGTTCTAAATAATAAAATTAGTACTACAGGAGACTAAGTGAAGCCTAGTGGACCTACATTGGTTAGAGAGTGACTTGAATATATGTGATATGGTTATTACCCTAATTCCGTATTTAGTATCCTATTTGAATATCACTTGATTTTATAAGGTAAATCTATTGATCTATGTTTACTAAACGTGATTTGACTCGTGTAGTGATGACATTGTGAAATGTGATTTGGAATGCCTGTTGAATTGTTTGATGAAATATGATTTGACATGCATATTTGAAATATGGTTTGATTTGCTTGGGATTTGTTGCTTTAGAGCTTGTTTCATATCCCGTTTCATTGTTTCATTTCTCGTTCCATTGACCCGTTCTAAATTTAGCACTTGTGCTTTGTTTCATTTCTTTGAGCATTTGTATTCTTCGAGCCGTTGATATTTTTCTTGGCCTTCCGCTCGGTTTCATTGAGTGATTCGGAACTGGGTATCCGCTAAGGTTCCGTTGAGTGGTCCGGTTCCTTGCTTCGTATGGATTCCGTTGAGAGGTCCGTAATCCCTCATGATTTGCGATTTCGTTGAGTGGTCTGGAATTGTATCCAGCTTAGATTTTATTGATGGTTTGATATGCATTGTACTCTCCGATTCTGTTGAGTGGTTCGGAATCGTATCCACTCGGATTCCGTTGAGAGGTCCGGAATCCCTTTTGCTTTGTGATTCCGTTAAGTGGTTTGGAATCGTATCCTGGTTTGAATTCCGTTGAGTCGTCCAGAATCCCGTTTGGTATTTTGGTTTTGTTGAGTGGTTCGGAACTTGATGTTGTTGGATTTCGTTGAGTGCTCTGAAATCCTATTTTTTAGAGATGTAGGCTTCGGCAAAATTGTATCGTTCTAGCCCTACATTTCGGTGTATTGTATGCATTATTGATTGATGTGATTGTGGATTGATGTTGGTTATGATTGTTGTAACTATGATTAGACTTGTTGACCATTGTGACTAGATAATGTTATTGCGCTTTGCCGAATGTTACTTGACGTGCTGGATGCCATGAATCGTGATATTGTGTGGAGTTTTAGTGAATTATGTGATGATTGTTCGAATGTAGTGAAAGGGTGAACTACGAATGGCTTGATCCCTGGTTAGGCTACGTAGGCAGTCTAACATGAGGTTAGATGCAGCCATAAAGCATACGAAAAATCATTACGCAAATTGGACCTTGAGTGGTGTTTTATTCATATTTTGGAGGCGGGGTATGTTAGATTTACAAGTATTTGGTGATGTCACGTGTCGATCTTGGACATAGGTCGGGATAAGGGCGTGACACTATTGCTACAGTTGGTTTAAAGTTGAGGGACCGTTACTCCAATTGGGTAAAAGTTGAAGGACCATTTCTCTAGTTGGGTTAAAATTGAGGGGCTATGGCTACAATTTTTCTCATTTGGTTTTCTATATTTGCCCCTCGATTCAGACTCATGTGGGTGATATGCTACTCATTTTGACAAAAGTTCTAATGGAGTTCATGAAAAGGACCATAGCTGCACGTTCTAAGAAGTAATCAATTTCGGGGTAGAACTCTAATGCAATAGGTCTCGGTAACAAACATTTTCGAAGAAAATCATGTAGGACAAAACTTCGGGATAGGGGGAAAGAGAGCGTTGTACATGTCTTTAACAACTCAAATAGGCATCTTGTATATCACATGTTGACTACTCCTTAGAAAACCGCAATATCTTCTGTCTACTTGAGCTATTGTATATCAACTTTCATTTCTAAATACAACTTCTGCTTACTTGAGA